GAATAATTGATTAACCAACTTGCTCGAGTAATCGAATAATCGCACAACCCTAATGTACATACATCTTAAATATTTAGGGCCGGTTACTCAATGTCTGGTTAATACTAATCTCCGGTTAAACATAGTTATCGACGTTACCGCAGATTAGTGTTAACCAGACATTGAGTAACCGGCCCTTAGCAATCAAGAATGATAGAATACAAGATTGCGCCAATGAGAGAGGATTTTTGAGCGTAATTTTTGCGTGACGTCATCTTGGTGCAATTGCGAGGGAGAAATGCCAAAACGCATAGAAAAAAAATGTAAACAATGCAGAAAAATGTGTTAATTTTAATATTACATGGCCCAATTTGGCAGAAATCAGTAAATATACAAAGATTGATTAATTAGGAACACGTAGCAATAATTTTGGACATGTACCCCTTTAGGTAAGTACGATTTTTAGCACATGAAAAAATGGATGTGTTAACAGTGTTTGCAATTTCATGTAGACCAAAAGGAAGGTGTGCAGCAAAGTGAATTTTTGGACTCGCCATTGTAAAAAGCCTTGCAGAGTGCATATTTATATTTGTGGACGGTAGCCAACCACCATAAACTCCACAGCTTTATATAAATGCAAATGGTTGCCTGCAGTGGCAACGGCAGTCTCACTCTGCTCAAGTAACTTGCTGACAATTCTTTTGTTTTCCCTGTGCTGAGCTCTTTCTGTACGCTGGGAAATCCCAGATTTTCTTCGTAAATAGTAGGCACCGCACGTTTTAGACGACGAAGTTTTGCAAAACCTAAGGCGTTTACGAAAACGATATTAAATGCAATTAATATGAAAATACACAATATGTTACCCATTTCGAACTGTGTATTATTTTCAATATCTTCACTAGTAAATTGCTACATGCACACATAGCTCGATTTGGTGTTTAATGCATCTCCTCGCCGGCAGAACTTCTTCCACTTTTTCGCCAGGCTCGCGTCGTTGGAAACGAAAAATACTTATATCGCATGCTTTCCTTTTGTTTCCACTATTACACTTTGCCACTGCACACTTCATTTTGCTTTGTAATGTCTCAATAATTGTTTAAAACCACGCAGAAATATTAACGCACAAATATTAAAATTGTTATTTGGTTTTTTCGTATGCTCACAATCAACAATTGCACCAAGATGACGTCACGCACACAGCTGTTTCTGTCAAAATCACAAAGAGCGGATTAGCGGTACCGCGATTGGCGAAATCTCTATTTCTCTCAATCGTGCTTAGCAATTAACCATGTGAGCAGTCATCGACTGCCACTCGACGCATACGGTTGTTCTCTCAGTGTTTTCGGTGTCTACTTTACACAGCGCGCGTACGAGCAAATTCGTTTCAAGTGTTTTGCTTCTTCCTTTTTTCTTTTTTCTATATTGATTTTTACTAACTTTTCTATATAGTTCTCCCCATAGGTAAACTTTTTTTCATAATGTCCCCTGGTGGGACCGCACTAATAATATTAATAATATTTAGTGGTGAGTGCTTAAAGATATTCCTGTTTCGCTGTCCATAAAGCTTTATTAAACATTAGCTCTGAAATAATAAAAATCAGCGAGCTACGGGATGGAAACCTACTCCTACTCAAAATTGATTTACACAAAAATCTAAACTCTAGCAAAGGGTGTATTTGCGCTCCTTTCTTAAATGACGTTCCTGATGAAGAAATAATTGACAATCTAAAAGAACAGGATGTTTCGTCCATTTACAAATTCCCTAAGTATATAAATGGCCAACCGAGCGGGCCATACCTTCGACATTTACTATTTACCGGAACAAATCGACATCTCGTGGTACAAAACAAAAGTAAGACCCTACTACGCTAATCCCATGAGGTGCCAAAACTGCCAAGCGTTGTAACAAGCCCCCTGTATGCGACACATGTGCTCTTCCACCTCACCCTCCGCCATGCACGCGTACGCTTTGCGTAAGCTGCTCAGGCAACCACTCATCTTCTAGTAAAGAATGCCCGAAATTTTAACAAATAAAAGCAGTACTGCTCAGTTCAGCCCAAATTCTAAATTCACTACCACTGCCTTCATCGCAGCAAACTTCGCATGTTGAATTTGATATAAATGAAACGCAGCCAACTTCTGTTGATGTCACTGAAGCCTAAAAGGCAACAACAAAAATGTAAACAAACAAAAGGTAATGTCAAAAAAAGCAGTCACTGTCAACGTCGTATTGGGTATGCTGCGGCAGAGACTGCCAATATTAGCAGTAACAGCTGATTTTAAAAACTGTCACTGCCACTGCGCTTTTGTATTTTGGGCTTTAATAAGCACGTTATTTTTGCAGCCTACAATTGCAAGACGAGGTGGTGTTCCTTATGCGACCGTAACAGTAGGGAAAATGTGAAAGGCGCTAATCTCTCTGGCAGCGGCAGCAGCTTTCGTAAGCCATGGAAGCTGATAGGGAATTTACATGAGGCGATTTTGCATTCAACATTTGCGTTCAACTCACGCAGGGTTGTACGAACAAAAAGTTGAATGGTTAAATGTTGGCTGGCGACCAACTTTGTTGAGAGCGATTAGTTGAAAGGCCGTTCAACCAAAAGTAGAATGCAAAGTTGAACAATGCAAACGGCTTTTTATTGCGAATATTTTGATATTTTTATACTTTTAGCCATTCAATTTTTTTTCGTGCAAGCCTGCGTGAGTTCAGCGCAAAATCGCTTCATATAAATTCCCTATGAAGGACGCTATGTCGTTCTTAAACAACTCGGTGGAAGCGGAATGGTGGGTCCAATGCGAATTAATGTCACATAAACAACCGGTATCGTTTTAGAATCCCCGAGCGATTCGTTTCCACTCTTCTTCGTTAGGAATACTCACATAAAACCCAGATATTTAAGTGCTTCCAGATCATATCGCAGGTTTCCAAGATTACGTTTCTAGCCGTTTCTTGGCCAATACGGAACTGAACTGCAATGCTGTATAAGGAGCAGCCTTGTGCAAGAAAACTTAACAAAACATTGTCTTAATTTTTATCAATATAAATATAACAAGTAATTTTTAGCAAAAAAAAAAATATATATATATATATCTCATGATCCGGATCTTAACCAGATTAGTATGGGACCACCTCTGAGACACTACCTTTCCGATGCAAAAAGAATTATCGAAATCGGTTGACGTGGTCCAAAGTTATGCGGTAACATACATAAAAAAAAAAAAAAAAAAATATTCCGACGAACTGATAACCTCCTCCTTTTTTGGAAGTCGGTTAAAAATGAACTTACGACAAGGTGATAAAAATATTTTTCTCGGGGTCAATTGCTGGCCTTCGTGACCTTAATAAACGTTAAATGAGTCGTAAGTCATCCTAACTGATTTATAAAATAGATCTGCATTTTTACAAACTAATATTTCAAACCCAGTGGCCTGGAACCCGAATTCGTCTCGAGTTTTAAATAGTTCTCTATTTCCACTTCGCCGGTGCAGTCTGTTGTACATCGCCCACAAAATTGCAAGATTTTCTATATCTTCTGAAACATTCATTTTAAATCGTTACAATTGTAATTTTAAATTCTGAATAAATTGTTTGTTTGCATATTTGACAGCAATGCAACTCTGGGATGTATACGCACGCAAGCCAATCTCGGTTGTCGCAAATAAACAAATTAGACGGCATGCGAATTGTGTATTAAGTTGCATGTGCATGAGAAATTGTTGACAGTAAATTGACGGCGTGCATGAATATTAGGTTAGCCTGTTAGGCGTGTTTTTAGTAGCTTTTTGCGAAAAGTTACTTTGCCATACTTACGGCGCGTTTACAGTAGACAATGCTGTCAAGACAATAAGAAATACGTATTAGTTGTCAAAAACGCTAATAATTTTATCCGTGGCGTAGGCGTCCTGACAATAGTTATATGCCGTAAAGAGAATTGCAGCGGATAGCGGGTAATGGGCCGACGGGTGGCGAACAGCTGATCCATTCCAGTCGGGAAAATACGGACGGGGAAACACAATTGCGACGGGAACGGTAAACACTATTGCGACGGAACATTTTGTGGTTTACAATAAAATTAATTTTGTAGTAAAATCTTTTCGTTTGCTTTAATTGTGAGTGCGTGCAAAAATGTCCAATATTGAAAGATTGTTGCGGATAATAAAAATTATATGCATAATGAGCACAATGTACGTGATGTACATGGAGGCGAGCAAGCTGTTGAAAAGGAGGTGGTGGGTGCGTCCTGCGAACCTCACCAGGAATGAGTTTGGGTTCCATGGAACATGTTTTCAACAACTTAAGCTGGAGGACGAGGAGCACTTTTTCAAAGCCACTAGGATGAGTGTTCCCAAGTTTCAAACTCTTTTGACATTGATAAAAGAAAGACTACAGCGTTTTTCAAGAAGAGCGCCAATAAATGAAGAAGCTCGCTGCACTGACACTGATGTAAGTAATTTTAGTCACGAATGCAACGAAATGGTTCAATAAAAATGTGTCCATTTTAGCTACTTATCGCAAGGATGCAGCCCACAATATCTCGCCTGGTCGCACAAAATGGGGGTATCGACAGTAAGGGAGATAGTTTACGATACTTGCAATGCCTTATGGACAGAACTGCATGACGTCTACGTCGCTCAGCCCAATGAGCATGAATGGAAACAAATATCAGACAGGTTTGTAGTGACCATCTAGGTTTCCGTGTTGAAGTTTAACCTTTTGTTTTGTATTCGTAAAGGTTTTAATTTAAAACGGGAATGCCGAATTGTGTTGGAGCGCTCGATGGCAAACATATAAAAATAGTTTGCCCGTTATAAAAAAAACGTATAGTATCGTGCTAATGGCAGCCTGCGATTCCAACTACACGTTTACTTTTGTGGACTCTGGGTGCGATGGAAAGCGAGAGTGATGGTGGAATTTTTTCACGTAGTTCATTTGGCAAAATGATTTTAAGAGGACTCTTAAATATTCCGCCAGATAATGCAATTCCTGGTAATTATAATTTTCCGTAAACATATACATATGTACATATATATTTATATTGTTGTTAATTACATTTTTCAATATTTTAGGAACAGAGACAACATTCCAATATTATTTTGTGGGAGATAATGCATTCCCACTGAAACAAAACTTGATGCGTCCATATCCTGGCCGGAACTTATCAGCTATAAAGGACAACTTCAACAAAAAATTACCACGTGCTCGTGTGCATATTGAAAATTCATTTGGAATTTTGGCTAGCAGGTGGAGAATTCTACACACGAATATTTACGCAGCACCAAAACAATGTGGATAAAATTGTGTTAGCGGCAATTGTGCTGCATAACTATCTAATGCTCGATAAGAAGAGTGGATATTTCAATGAAGAACTCGTGGACCACCTCGAAAATGGTGTTGAGGTGCCAGGCACTTGGAGGGAATCCCACGCTGGGCTGCCTTCTTGCAGAATCGCCCAAGCGAATCGGTCATGTGCAGATGCATTTAGGAGTAGAGACACACTGGCCGATATACTATTTAATAATTGAGGTAAGATTAACTATTCCCCTTTATTAATGTTGCGATAATACTCAATCTATTTCATTTATACAGGACGCCGCATCCGATTTGTTGCTAAGCGTGTCTTCAGTGTTGTAACTTTTACCACTGTACTTATTAAAATTCAATTTCATTTGTTTCTATTTGATTTAAAATTTAATTTAATTTCAAATTCTATTTATAACATATTCATACACTTCTTGACAAATAAATATGTAAGTACAGCCCGTGACAAAACGATAGCACCTCAACATTTCGATCAGTTTTCTCTATTTGTGGTTTGTTTAATGTTCATTACTAGACTGCGGATGTTTATGCAGAAAACGGAGCCTAAAAATATTTACCCCATAACTATAAACAAAATGTATGCACATATATATATTTTGCTTATAGTTAAGTGGTTAGGCTTCGTTTTCTGGATAAACACCCGCACTAGGCATTAATTTTCTATAAAAAGTACAGCTGTTTATTTAACAAATACCATATAAATCGAAATTTTAAACTTTGCAAAAAAATTATAAAAATTCCACAAACTATTAGAATTTCTAGAAAAATTTTTGGTATGCAATTCCATAACTTATTAAATTTTAGTATAATAAAATTAAAGTTTTTAGTGTTTAAAAAATCGAGTAGATTTTTAGATCATTTTTATTTTGACCGTAACACATGGAATACAGTCAACAAAAAAATGATCTCAAAATCAACGTGATTTTTTAAAAACTTAAAACTTTCATTATATTATACTAAAATTTAATAAGCTATGAAATTGCATACCAAAAATTTTTCTAGAAATTCTAATAGTTTTTTACAAAGTTTAAAATTTTGATTTATATGGTATTTGTTAAATAAACAGCTGTACCTTTTATAGACAATTAATGAGCATTAAACAAACAAAAAATAGCGAAAACTGATCAAAATGTTGCTGCGCTATCGGATTGTCACGGCCAGTACATCAAATTTTACTAATTTTTATAAATAAGGCAATAACTATGTATATTTGATATGTTATAAATAAACTAATCACTATAAAAATACAAGTAAACTAAAAACATAATAAATAAACTGAATAAAAATTAACTGAAAATTATATTTAATATTTTTGTATTAAATATTGTTGGACAAATAAATAGGAACTTCAAAATTGGCGAAATGTTATAAGTAAACTAAACTACATTTCATACGTTGGTATTAAATACACTGCTGCACTAATATATAGGAACTTCAAAATTGTCAAAATGTTACAAATGAATTAATTATAATATTTGGTATTAAATTCACTGCTGCACTTATAAATAAGTCGTGGAAATTCTTAGGTTTTTGTCTAAAAATCGTTTATATAAAACACATTTTTTGCAAAATTTTAAA